TCTCGGGAAGTTGAATATGCTTCAATAAGCAAATCCTTCTTCGAACGTTGCCCATAAAATATCCAGACCAATGTCGAAATTATTTTGATTTGAAAAGTAAGCTCAGAAAATAGAGAGAAAATCCGAAGTGATTTAAGTACCTTACAATTCTCACGTTTGGAATTGAGCCTTCGCTTTAGCCTTCGGCTTGAATGAAAATTAACTAAGCATGACAAAAGTCATACTTAGCATAATTGAAAAGTATGCGAAAAATAGAGAGCAAACTAGGGAGAAAAAGAAGATTTTATTCGCAGATGAGAGAGATATATTTCTAGGCTTACCCCTAAGAGGGTGTTTATAGCCTTCAAATTCCTAAAAACAAGCTAAAACATCTTAAATCCTAATTAAAACACTTAAAACTATTTAAACTAAAATACCTAAAAATAATATTCAAAATAATATTCTAAATCATAATTAAAATACTAAAACTATTTAAACTAAAATACCTAAAACAAAGATAAGATATAAAAATAATATACTAAAACTTAATTAAAATACTAAAACCTATTTAAACTAAAATAAAGATAAAATATAATATTTAAAATATTATCTTAAACTCGAGTTTAATTCAAATCCGAATTCCAGCCAGCTTTGATTTGAAAATAAAAAAACTGCAGAATTCTATCTTTTTGTGTAATTTCCAGAATCTGACGTCTTGCACAGAACATGAATCAAAACGAACAATTAAGCCACAAAAACCAATTATTAAGGAGTAATTTAAAAGCAAATATTAACTAAATTAAGCACTTATCAGGAGGCCACTTCCGAAGAGAAAGAGTAACAAGTTTGAATATGAGATTAGAATCGGAACAATATGCATATTCTTTTTTTTCTTTCTATTCTTTTTAGCCTTCTTTACTGGCATTTGAACCTCCTCTATGCCTCTCTTCTTTGAGTCAGGCTTAACTTTCGTGTTAAAGTTTCACCCTCAACTTTTACTTTTCCACGCATGATCTCTGTCACATTTTCTGGAATCGTTCACGATTTTTGGAGTTGACTTGGATTACCACATTCCCTAATAGGTTCTTGATCACTTGTTGTCATCACATTGGCTGCACCACTAACATTCATATTCTCACTCGAAGTCTTCATCTTTTCTTGCATAATAGGGCCCTCTAATGATTTCTCCCCATGTATTATTGTAATCATCATGCTCATCAACTTGGACATTTGTTCCCTGGATTCAACTTGGATCTTTCTTGCTTCATCAGTCATTTCTTGTTGAGTCCTTACGAGTTGCTCATGGATTCTCTTGATCCAACTAACACGTGCTAATATTTCATTCATTACTTTCGATCTTTCCATAAACACGCCCCGAGTAACTTCAATTGGCTCTCAGAAACTCTGCCACAATATTCTCTTACTAATATTGGTACTTTATTAATGAATATGAAAAAAGATTACTATTAATGAATAAAATGCAATGCGAAAAGCAAATACAATGTTGATGCAATGCAATGCAAGGTGTTGATTCTGGAATGATTCCTTAGAACAACTTTTTATATTAGAAACGAAGTTCAGTTACAATGCTTTATCGTATCACACATAAATCTGAGTTATTTCTCCTAATTGTTGAATGTATCCCAGTAAATCTAAAATCCTCTGAGTTTCTTCAGTCTCGAGCTCCAACCCCATGTGTTGAGCCACTCCTTGAGCATGCTATAGGAAGCTCGTGATGAGGTCATTTTGACGATCATTGATGTGTGTACCAAGTCATATTTGAGCTAGTATGCAAATTGCCTCTATTTATTAGTTGGGACTACTCGAACCATCTCAGAACGTCTGCATTGTTTTCTACCTCTTTTTGAATCATTTGTTCCATATTACTAGCCTTTTATATGAACATTGTTCTAGGATCAACCCCATGGAATGAATAATGCAATGCAAATTGGTAACAAAATTAAATAAAAGAACAAGAGAAAATTGGTTAGTAATCATAAATGAATTAATTGGATATAATATAATTTGTTGATAAAACCTACCCCTCATGCTGACTACCCAATCATGCTTTAGTAGATCCTACCCAAACAGGATTTCTACCCACATGCCTTGTTTAGAGAAAATCCTAACTTCATGTCATCTAGTTCACATGCTTATTTAAAATATTAAACCTAACCGTATGATCTCTAGTTTACATACATTTATCCAGGAATCAAAACTACGCTACAAAATTAAAAGGCTTAAACATGTTTTTCCTTGTGTACTCTTCTCACGGGATCCTATGATCTGGGTAAGTCTCTGTTTGGGTTCTAAGTTTACTATATGCTGGGTTCGGTTTTAAAGTAAGAAGTCCTCGAATTGTCCTTGTCGGTGACCCCTTAGGCTACCTAACCCTCATTCCTGGCCCATCACAAGCTTTTGGATCGAGTTCAATTTGAGAGGACACACCTCTTTATGTCTATACGAAGGTGAGAACCATCATGAGGACCATAAGGTGTGAGCCCCAGGAGCGATCCACTATCCTGTACGGAGATGAAAACCACACGAGGGAATAGCTTCTCACTCCTACTTAAATAGACAGAGCGGGGTTTTAGCTCATGTTATACAAATGCAGTTGTGCAGTGTGTGAGGAAAAGCGAGAACAAAACTAACAACACCAAAGAAATCGATTCTTACTCCAATCGAAATAAAGATATATTAAAATTTCATTCTAAAGTTCACTATTAATTCAAAATAACAACACCCAAAATAATTTAAAGGTGAAAACGATAATATCTAATAATTTCCAATCGAGAATAAATGAATTTTATACCTTAAAATAGTCATTTATTACCCCAATTGAAATAAAGAGATATTATTATTTTGTCATAAAATTACATAGCAATTCAAATGAAAACGATAATATCTAATGATTTCCAATCGAGAATAAATGACCTCTCATACCTTAAAGCAATCATTTATTACTTGGACCGAAACGAAAAGATATTACTATTCTCAATGTCGATTCGAATGTTATTGTTTGAAAATCTACTGGAAAACACATGCAAAAATAAAACAAATAAAAAACATTACAAACAAGGAATTAATTATTTATTTTACAGATATTTAATGAGAATAAGGGTGTTCAATTATTTAAATATCTCGAGATGAGACCTTAGATTCAATCTAACAGTCTTTTTCGATGAATTTAATTAAAAGAACATTGTCTTTTCTCAATCCCCGAATCTTAAAAAAGAAATCAATTTAATTCGTGTCTCTAAATGGGGTAGACTTTCGTTTTAAAATTATTGAAAGTAACTTTCTTTATACGTTAAGACAATCACTTTACGACAATATTAAAATGATCCAATATTACCCTTAGTCAATTTATTTTGATTCGAGTCAAGTGATGCTTATGAGGGTATCATGCGAGATTAATTAGGACTAAAATGAATTAATGTACAAACAACATGAAAAAATTAAAATAAAAATAAAAGTAGGGCTAAAACATAAATAATCAAACTATCATGCCAAAATTAGAACAAAATAAATTATAAAAGGACTAAAATGAACACTTACAATATTAAGTGCTAAAATAAAAATAAATAAAACATGGGGCCAAATTAGAATAAATTCGAATTGCATGGCCGAATTAAAATAAATAAAAAATATATTATTTGTTCGAAATACAAACATGCAAAAATACAGGGGGTTATACAGAAAATATCCCTAAAAATAATATCAGGCATAAAAGGGTAAATTACATAAACAGTCCGTAAAGGTGACTAACATGCAAAAATACTCTAAAAGTATGGGGACTAAACTAAGATTAGACCAAAATTGTAAAGCACGAATAAATATGGTAAAATAACAAAAATGGTCCATGGTAGTGACCTTTATGTAAATAAACACTAAATCTCGGGGGACCTATATGCAATTTCCCTCGAGATTCACCCTATATAAACAACTTATTCTTTTATTTTTCCCATTTCAACCGGGTTTTTCAAAAAAAAATTCTTTTTTCCTCTCAAAGGTTTCGGCCAGCCCACTGTCGGCCACCCTGAACAACCACCGATCACCATCCGACTGCCATACCGACCGTTGTACACAGTGGCCGAAATCCCCAAACTCTCCCAAAACCACCTAAACGCTTGGATCTAGACCCTTAGGCCTAGATCTAAGGCTAAAACTACCTAAAAACGACCCTACCCGAACCTAAAGCTACCTCAGTCGTTCGGCTTCCAACCTCCTCGCGTGCTCCGGCTACCGCCCGACGAATGTGACTTGGCCTCGGCTCGACTTCTCGACTCTAAAGTAAACTACCTTACCCTCCTCCTTGGTTCTTTTTAGCACATGCAAAATAGTATTATTTTTCCTTTTGTTTACAACTGCAAAAATTTTTTAAAAAATAACTTGAAACATTTTTATTGCTTCTTTTCTCCACTAAAAAACCAAGCCTTTTACATTTCTGGTTCTGGGTTTTTATAGAACCCAAGTTTACATGTTTGTTTGCTTGTCTTTTGCTACAAAATGATTACAAAGAAAAGATTGTATGTAGATTTCGGTTTATGGTTGCTTGCTGACTTGTTCTGGGCTTTCTGACATTTATAGGGCTTCAGATTGGAGGCAGCGGCGGTGGCCGGGAAGTGGTCGAAACGGAAATGACTGATGAGGGTTTTGGAAACCCTAAATGATCACTGATCTGGACCATTGATTTGGGTCCAGATCCTACAGCTGTGAAGGAGTGGCGCTGGAGCTGGGAGAAGAAACCCTAGTGGGCCTTGTGGGCTTGCTTGGGCTTCGAGTTATAAGGCTGAACCCGAAATGGGTTGCTGTTGGGCTCCTAGTCTGATGGGTTGAGACTTGTTGTATCTGGGTCAGGCAGTTTTGATGTAATTAGGGCCCAATTGGGCTTTTTTTTAAGCTTGCAATAATAATAATAAAAAAATAATAATAATATAATAATAATAATAGTGGTAATATTAAATGGGATGAAAAATGAGTGTCGATACTATTTACATTTACATTTACATTTTAATTTTTTATAATTTTTTATACTTACCTAATTCTGAAGCAGGCAACCGGACATAGATATTTTGCTCGAATTGTTCTGCAACGAACTCTCGGATATCTACAAGTGCTCCGAACCACATTAAACATCCACTTTCGTTGTGGTTCGATTTAGCATATGCTGTACACGAACAATTCTTCAAGCACTCGGCCCTGCAGTACTCAAGGTTCAACCTTTCGTCTAACTTGAAGTCCAATAGGTCTGGAAATTTCACATTCTCAATTTGCAGGAATCCCTGTCTCTTCCGGCAGTCTAATGGAGTGCTCCTTACACATCCACCTGTCCAATTGAGTACTCGCCACTCGCGTTCCGATCTCGGAACAAATCCTTCCAAGCATTCACAGATTGGCCTTTGATTAATCTTACAGACTCCATTAGGGCCGCACCGTGCATAATCATCACACATATCATTCTGCAGTGTAAACAAGTTGGTCCATTCACTGGTGTTCTCATACAACACGAGGCGTTCAAGCAAACCGGATTCGTTCAATGTAAATCTCGTGATAACAGATTTGTCCGTCACTTCATACGTATGGTAAACCTCCTCTGTATTAGCAACAACAACGTGAACAATAAGAGGGCTTACCTGTACCGGAAGACCACTAAAGCTAATTCCATTCCATGGACCAACTCGAAACCTCTCCTTCATCCCGTCACGAAGAAGAAACTGAGGCAAGCCATTATGATCAACTCCACAAGTAAAATCTCTAGGTGATGGATCATTAACACCCTTCCGTGCCCTCAATTATCAATTTACGCCGGTTTTCAAGTTCCTTCCTAGCTTCATCCCTGCCAATTTAGTATCCGATGGAAAATCAGAACTTTCCCACAAGTAGCTTTCTGTATCTTCATCGGTATCCCCATCTTTAACAACCAAATTACCCGAATCCAACAATTGAGCAACCGGATTGTTTGCTGATCTAGATGAATTAGGGGACCAAATCATAGTGTTTTGGCCATCAAAGATAAGAAGATAACCAGTGCTGGAAATATTAAGAAATGCGTGTGAATCTATAACTGGATTTTCTCTATTACCAACCCATACAACAGTATCAGTAAGCCTTTTATACCATATTCCCAAGTAATATTTTTTGGATTCACCAGGTGAAAAGAAGCCTAGTTCGAATATTTGACCAGGAGAAACCAAGGTGCTGCCATTTCTGAGTGATTGAGCTGGAGCTAAGGTATCGGCAGCAGAAGCATAGTATGAGCCTGAAAACAGGCAATACTGAAAGAAGATCAAAGCAAGTGTCTTCATTAAGAAAGGAATGAAATATTAACTGAACATGCATGAGGTTATATTTATCATCAATTTACCCGCCGGTAACTTGGAAAACAATTAACTTACATTTTTCACATGCAAAATCATAACTTAAGCTTGTTGTTCGTGGTCAAAGTCAAGAGGATTTGGTAGCAGCCTGGGAACGAAAATACTCATTTTTTTAAGTTCAGAACCAACACGTGCGCGTTCTTCACTTGGATAAATTAAAAATTCGATGATAGTCAAACCAAGAAATAGTAGGTATTACTCAGTGGTCATATGGTTCGATTGTTTGAGTGTAAAATAAAAAGTAGTAGTATTATATTGTTTAGTTGATAAAATGTTGGTAATTGAACTTTAAAAAGTAAGTATAAAATTAAGCATTACCCACCAACAACTGGTGGTGTTCAAAAATACCAGATCCGGATTAAAAATTTTCGGGTAGAGCCCGGATCACAAAATTAAATTTTTTGGGTTTCTGATTACCGATCGAGTACCCGAAACCTATTTCCCTACCTGAAACCCGTTTCGGCATTTCCCTACTAGAAATCCTTTTCCCTCACAAATTACAGCCCTAAATCTGCTGGACAATGGAAACCAAAATCTCCTAAAGTTTCATTTCTTGTACAAATAGTATCTCAGCAGTAAATCATCCCACAAGTTTTCTAACTAAAGCTCTATTAACAGATACTCCGGGACCTCTTATGTTCCAACCCAGTCAAATGATTTTACAGAACTCAAGACAACATACAGGGACTGTGTACTTTGAATCTAGCAAGAATCAAAGCCTCTCCTCCAAACTAGCCAATCTTTCAATCATCTGTCATCACTACAATATGCTATAACTCAGACCATCTTCCCAACTTCCCTGGTATGTTCGGCCTGCCACTGTCACCTTTCTCATGTTTATATGCTCTTTTTCACAAATGATGCTGTTTTCAAAAACCAATGCTACTATTATGAGACTTGTTCTCCATTGCTCTCAATGAAGTAACCGACATGAGATTCAGACTAAATATACTTACCAAAGCTTGCAAAGAGTTTCTAAAATATGGAAATAAATGCAAGCAAAAAGACACCGTTTATGTACAATTTACTTCAACCAATGATGAATGCCATTACCAGAAGACAAAGAAGTATGGATGTGAATGTATAATGCAAACTCAAAGGTCAGCAGGAAGCTAATACTTTAGTTAAGCAAATCACTTCAATATCATAATTAACATTTTTGTATACCAGTAACCAAATCACACATAGGTTAAGCCAACTAGCTAGCGTCCTTTCGAATAAAACCTGGTTCTCATCCTGCAAAGGGTAATCACAAAGGTTATCAAAAATGATGCGAACGCCAGTATTCATAGTCTAAGCCAGTTTTGACAGCAATGAAGCTAATATCATATGCAATGATAAAAAACCGGGTACCCGATTACTCGGATTACGAGTACCGCAAAATCCAGATATCTGATTACTGGTACCCGTAACATCCGGGCCGGGACACGGGCCGGCCAATCAAGTACCCGAAGATCCGGGTATCCGAATTTGAACACCCCTATTAACAACCAATTGATCTAGTGGGATGAGGCATTCAGGTATTTGAATCCTTGCGATTGCGAATGGAGCAAATTGGGTTGGGAGGGTTGCTCTTGCCTCTACAGTACCCGATCTGGATTAGTCGATCAATAGATCGAATATTAGTGGTTATGCTAAAAAATTAAGCATTACTCTTTGTATTTAAATAATTAATATCCTATTTATATTTATATTTATATTTTATAATTTAATTTTTTATAATTAATATTGAGTAAGTTACACTATTCATCACTCAACTATCTTCTCTATCCTACTTTGGTGATTAATTTTTTTTAAATTTAATCACTCAACTTTTGAATTGTTCACATATTAATCACTCTATAGATGATATGACTTATTTTATTATTATTTACCTATGACATGACATATTTTATCCATATTTTTTATCATGTAGGATTAAAATAAAAATAAAATCTTTAAACAAACCCTAATGTCCAATCATCAAACTCAAACCTTCATCTTTACCGCAATCAACCGCACCCACAAATACTCATCTCCGTTATGTATCTAAGAGAGAAGGTGAATTCCCTTTTATCACACAATTGACATGTTACCACTGTCTAAGCACTAAGCTTTTGTTGTTGCCTATTGTTGCTTTGGTTGACATTGTCGGGACGTGCACAACATTTAAGTTATGGTGACAGTTTTCGTTGTTATTAGCTCAAACTTTATTTTCAGTGATGCCTTCTCATTCTCGTTCAACCACTTTAGAACCGTGTCGTTTGAAATTTCCCATGTTGTTTCGGTTCGATTGTTGTCAATGGATAAGATATGTTTTCTCTCGTTCCTCTTAAAACATTTTTTGTTGGTCATGTGTTATTGTCATTAGTTTCTGCATGTGGTGATTTCTGGTTGATAAGCCGATAGAGGAGATTATTGCGGTCATACGTGTTAAGAAAAGAAGCTAAATTTCGAGTATTCATCCATTATTAGAAATAATTTTCGGGTTGCCATTTTAGATATGTGGAAGTCTATCAATGTTCAAGATTCTTATGATTACGGTGCATCACCATTGAGTCCATGTCTTTTAATCGTCGATGAACCAATGTTATGGGGTCATCACCGGCTATTGAATCTATTAACCACTGTTGAAACCATTTTGATGTTTCGATATAACAAATAAAGTGTTAAAGAATTTTAAGATTTTATTCAATTTCAAAAATCATATTCGATCCAATTATTCGAATGTCACAAATATTACTCCAAGTTTTCAAATGTCAATTTTACTCCTTACTTAAGTGAAAAATTTTGTTTCAATCTTAAAACATTTTTGAAATAATTTTTACAAAGTATTTCGAACTAAAATCGAGCAAAAAATGAGTTTTAAATAGGGATGTACCGATACCCTCTTAAGAGGTACCGATACCCCTCAAACTTCGAATGCAAAATGGTATGGATACCCATAGGGTACCGATACCCCTATGCAAAGAGGTATCAATACTTACCCCAAAGGTACCGATACCCCTTATCATGATTTTGGCTCTGAGAAAAACAGAATGCCAAATGGGTACTGATACCCCTGAGAGGTACCGATACCCTTAGTCTTATAACGGTCAAAATATTTGAATTTTACACAGGATGTATCGATACCCTTTGAAGGTGTACCGATACTCCTACGCTCCCAACAGCTTTTTGAAGTACAATTCACACCACAATGGCTCTATTGAATCCCTAACATTCATAATTGATCCAAGGTGTATTTAAACAAGTTCCGAAGCCTTTGATCATCAAGTATTACAAAGAGAAGCTAGAGAAACAAGATAGAAAACATCAAACATCAAGTTTGAGCATTTCAAGCCAATTTCCTTTCAATATTCATTTTGCTTTCAAGAACACACTTTGTGCTCACTTGTATTCATAATTGAGTGTTCTTTTCTTATTCTAGAATTGTGCAAACAATCTACCTTGTGAGGTTTTTCTGTAAAGTTTGTAAATTTGTAATTTTCTCTTTGGGAGAGAGTGTTCTCAAGAATTTGGGGTATAATTCTTGAGGGAGTTGTAAGGTTACTCTTTATTCTCAAAAGAAAGAAAAATTAGTGAATTTGTGGAAAATCCTTAGTGTGGATAGCTAAGGTAGTGGACATAGACTTTGATTGAGAAAGTTGAACCACTCTAAATCACTCTGCAAATCTTTTCAATTCTCTGTCAAAGCTTCCACCGAAATTTTTAATTGCCAATTCACCCCCTCTTGGTCGATTCATCCGATCGATTAACTCAACAATTGGTATCAGAGCTATACTCATTTGAAGGTTTTACCACCTCTTGAGTAGATTCGGGAAGAGTTCAATCAATATTCAAGTCATCAATGGCCTCTACATCAAACTTCGACTTCGTTATTGATTCTCATCCAGTCAACAAGCCTCCTTTCTTCAATGGAGCTAACTATGTTTATTGGAAGAATATGATGAGATACTTCATTGAAGCTAGTGACATGAGAGTATGAAAATCATGATGAACGGGTACACTGAATCATCCACAAATACGAATATGTGGAGTGAAGAAGAGACGAGATTTTCCAGCTCAACTCAAAGGCTATCCCTATTCTTTTCTGTGCACTTGGACCAAATGAATACGGGAGAGTATCATCTTGTATAACCTAAAAGGAGATATGGGACAAACTACAAGTCACACATGAAGGAACTAACGAGGTAAAAGAATCTAAAATTAGTCTTCTTACTCACAGCTATGAAAATTTCAGGATGAAACTGAATGAAGACATCAAAGCTATGACGGATAGATTTTCCGTGATTGTCAATGGCCTCAAGGCATATGGAGAAATCATTCTAAACGAGAATCTTATGAGGAAGATAATTTATTCTCTTCCAAAAGCTTGGCAATCAAAGAAGACGACGATTATCGAAGCTAAAGACCTAAAGTCTTTAACTCTCGATGAGCTCATTAGTTTTCTCCTCACTCATGAAATGATGATTCAAGATGAGGTACACCTCGAGAAGAAAGATGACATAAAGAAGGAGACATAGAAAAAGAAGAATGTCGGTGTTGCTCTCAAATCCACAAAAGATAAGAGTGATTCTAATTATGATGATGATGATGAAGAAATGACATTATTTGACAAACGGTTTAGGAAATTAATGAAGCCCAACAAAGGAAGAAAATTCAAACGAAATGAAGGCTTCAAAAATGAACCAAAGGAGAATGACCCTATCATTTGCTATAAATGCAAAAAGTCTGGGCATGTCAAATACGATTGCCCAATTAAAGAAGAAGGGTCATTCAAAGAAGAAACAAAAAGCACACGTGGTTACTTGGAGCGATGATGAATCATCAAATGAAGAGGAACAAAAAGTAGAAACCTGTTCTTGATGGCCACTGGGGAAGATTCTCAGGTAACCTCTAACTCATTTGATTTAGAAGATTATTCTTTAGATGAGTTATTAGAAGAATATATGGGTTGGCTTTGAATTATGAGAAATTGTTTTCAAAATACAAGAAAGATATTTCAAAACTAAAAACCATTAAAGATCTCATATCCAAGATCAACATTGATCTTGAGAGTAAGATTAAAAATTTGCAAATCAAATTATACGAGTTTGAAAAGAAAAATATTGATTTGCATAACTTACTTTCAAGAGTAAATGACGATCATCAAAAGAAAATTGATGATCTTAAAGCTTCTTTTGATAAAGTTGGAACAAACAGTTTTGAAAAAAGAGAAAATTCAAAATCCAACTATATTAGAAAGAATTTTAAATCTTAAAATCATAGAGATCCTCAAAGAACCTCTAATTAGAGGTGTTCATTCGGTTAAAACGGTGGCCGACCGAACCAAAATACCCTTAACCGAATTAACTGATTTTTTTCTTTAACCGTTAACCGAATTGAACTTTTTTATGCAAGTATTAACCGAACATAATAAATTTTAGTTAATTCGGTTAATTTTTGAATTAACCAAAAAAGTTTTAGAATTTTTTAATTTAATATTTT